CTGTCACTAAAACAATCATAGAACATGAAAATTCTTTTCAAACCCCAGAAACCGTCACTAAATCCTAGAATATGTCACTAAAACTCTCAGAAAAGATGATGATATATGTCAAAAATCTAGAAACTGTCACCAAAACCCAAAATGTGTTACTAAAACTAACAGAAGATGAAGATTCATACCAAAATCCTGAAACCTTCACTAAAACCCATAATCCATCACTAAAACTATCTTCCTTTAATTAAAGATTTCCACCATAAAAAGTTCTTCTTTTAATTAAAGATTTACATTATTGTCATGAATTTTCAAACCACTTATCATTCATATTAGAATACTAATTTGAGATTATCAGTGTCAAGATTAATAATAATACTCATACTTGAAAATTATATATGTTGTGAAGTTATTATTAGTGTCAAGAGTTGATAAAAGCTTCATTGCATGAAAATTGATGCCGACGAAAGTCTCAAGATATGCTAAAGTATGGTATCCCACTGTTAATCCAAAGAAAGAAACAGAATAGATACCAATGACTTAGGAGTTTGTTCCATAGCTATTTAATACACATATTTAGACGCTATAAACATACATCATTGGGTCACCTTCTTGTCTCATTTTTCATGAAAAACTATACCATACTTACACACTATGTGAAATCATTAAATGGATTATTTCCAAACACGTTTCTTTACTCTATTAAATGTATGTACTTCTTAGTTACTATTTCTAGTTCTTACCAAGCGACGGCCATTAATTATCATTTATCTTCGCTCATGTTATTTTCACAATTCTTTGGAATGAAAATCAACCTAAGTTAATAAAACATATATATGGGATCGATACTATTACTTTTAACACTTACTACCACTTTGATTGTGTATATTAGAAAATATAAAGCAACCAACACACGAGTATGAACACTGTATATCCTTTTCACTTCTTATTAGTTATGGAGACCATTCCATCTTGCGAGAGACTATAGCTAGCCAAGAGAAAGATAACTGGATTGGTGCAATGATAGAGGAGATGTAGTCCTGAAGAAAAATCAGACATCAGAGCTTGTTTAGCTTTATAATAGGACAAGGGCCATCAGTTGTAAGCGAGCATTCAAGAGAAAACCAACAATAACAAAAAAAGAAGGGGAAAAATCCAAGGATCATCTTGTAGCAAAGGTGTACTCACAACTAAATGGAATTGATACGATTATATATTTTCTTCAATCGTCGAACATACTTCTATCAGGATAATATTCTCTTGGTAGTAGCCAATACATGTATTTAGAGCATATAAATGTGAAGACAACATTTCTTCATGATAGTCTAGATGACAAAATCTATATGGAGCAGACAGAGGGGTTCAGTGATAGTATACATGATAATATAGTTTATAATTTAAAAAGGTTTTTGTATGGTCTAAAGTAGTATCCAAGGCACACTACAAGAAAGTTACATTTTAGCTGCAAGCATTTGGCGTCGGCTCCGACACCAACGCTATTAACGTTGATTATGCGTCCCTCTAAAATGACTTTAACCTGTAAATATCATATGTTTAATTTTTTAATTATGATATCAAAGGTAGCGTTGCCCCACACCAATGCTAAATATGAAAATAATGTTTTATAAATAATTAATTAATTGGATATCTAGCGTCTCGCCGGACCTATGCTATGGAATATTTACATGTAAAATTGTTTATTATTTTTGTATTTGTTTATTTTTTATAGTAGTGTCGATAAAAATCGACGCTAACATTTGGTGCGAAACTTTTTGTTTTTCTCCACTTATTTGTTTGCCTCATTTTGTATTGTTTTATGTAATTTTTAAGGTATAAATGATAGCGACAGCTTTGGTCGACGCTAACTTTTTCTATTATATAATTTTTTTGTTTTTAGTTAGCGTCAAAGTTGGTGCAAATTTTTTTCTTTTTCTCACACATATTTCATTTGCCATCTTTTCATTTTTTAATTAATTATTTAATTTTCTAATTAGCGGTGGTGTGGGCCGAAGCTAACTTTAATTTTTATTTATTCTTGTTTGTTTGACTTTTTTCCAAATATTTATCTACTTTTTTATTATTTTAATAAAAAATATAACAAGAATATATATATATATATATATATATATATATATATATATATATATATATATATACACTGAAACTATAAATTTTAAAAAATTAAAGAAAAATATAAATTTAAACTACAATATTATTTTAGTTTAGTTTTATTTTATTAATTTAGAATATATAAATAAATAATTTATGATATCTTATGTTGGAAGTTTGATATGATAATATATCAATGAATAGTTTAAAATTAAAAACAGATTTCACTAAATATCATGTAGCAAATAAATTTGGTTTTAAATAAGTTTATATTAGAAAAAATAATTGGCAAGAAAAAAAACCATTAGTGTCGATTATTATAGACTCTATAACATGATTATAGACATGTAGCGTCTAACATGACTGACACTAAATTGCAAAATAGAAAGTTAGAAAACCATTAGCATCAATGTATACAACACAATAGTGTCTTTATTACCTGACACTAACTAACTATAACTAGATTGTGATGTCGCTCATGAACGATGCTAAGACATTGAAGACAGTATTCAAGTGTCGCCAGAAATTGACACTACATAAAACATACTGACGATAATAGCCGAAGTCGCGTTAAAAATTACTATATTATAGCGTTAGTTTTTGAATTTTAGTATCACACTAGCGTTCCTTAAGTCGTCACTAAAGTTAGCAACAACTCAACATTAAGTCGTTACTAACACATTGTAGCGTCAGTTTTTGGCCTTTTAGCGATGGCATTTTACCGACGCTAAAATGCAATTTTCTTGTAGTGGCAATAGTAGAATCGCATTGGTTCTTACATGCTTTATATTGACAATAGAAGGTGTGAGTATGATTGTTCTATTTATGTTAAAAAACCTTGATTATTGCTCTTTTATTTTCTTATTGTTGTATGTTAATGATTATTGTTAATTATTTACACGACATAAATGAATTGAAAATCATTGTTGAGTCTGACCCATATAGTAAAAACATAGCAAGTACAACATCAACAAGACATTTGATTGTGACTACAAACAAAAGAAGATATAAGAATTTATATGTAGATATTGAAGGGACTTAAGGGGTCAGGAGCCTCTGCCTTTGTGTTTGGCTCAAACGTGTTTTAAGGCTAATTGTTTGTTATGAGATGGTGAGTAGCCGCCCCCGCGACACATTTCAAGAGTATTTTTGTAAACTTAGCCTTATTTATTACAAAAAAATGAAATTATAATTGTTCTATGATCGTAGAGGTATGTATTATTGGCTGAACTATGTTAATAAAAATCGATTGGTATTTATCATCTTTTACTTTTATTTCTCTTTAATCTTTTATGTTAGTTGTTGTTCTAACTTATTATTAAATAAAAATTTAGTTTTTATTTCTACTTGAAACCTTACTTGCAAATATGTCCCGCCAAATTCGTTGAAACGGAAGGGGTGACACCTTTGTTGGACGAGATTTCTTTTAAAAGTATTAGTATGGAGGAGAACTCTTTTCTTGAAAGATCTTTTCAAAAGAAAGAGATAAAGGAGGCTATTTAGGGTTTTAGGAGGGGTCTAAGAGTCCGGGTCCGGATGGGTTTTCTTTTCTTTTTATTAGAAAATGTTGATCCTTCCTAAAAGAAGACTTTGTTCGCTTTTGTAATTCTTTCTACAATGGTAGTGAAGTTTCGAAGGAGGTCACCTCATCTTTCTTAACTTTGGTTTCTAAGTCTCCGAACCTGGTTTGTTTGGATGATTATAGACCTATTTTTTTAGTGGGTTGTATGTACAAAGTGTTGGCTAAACTTTTGGTGGGGAGGTTAAAACGTGTTTTACATTCCATTATTTCTCCGTGTCAAAGCGCTTTTGTTCAGAGTAGACAATTGCTTGATGGAGTTTTGGTGGATAATAAAGTGGTTAACTATGCTAAGAAGAAGGGTAGGAATTGTCTTCTTTTTAAAGTGGACTTTGAAAAAGCTTATGACAAGGTGAGTTGGAATTTTTTGAGGTATTTGTTAAAGAAAATGGGGTTTGGGACGGTATGGAGGAAGTGGACAGAATTGTTGGTCTTTCAAAGTAAGATGTCAGTGTTAGTGAATGGGAGACCCACTAAGGAGTTTTTTGTTGAGAAACACTTGAGAAAAGGTGATGCTCTCTCGCCTTTTCTTTATGTTATGGTGGCAGAAGGATTGACGGGTTTAGTAAAATAATATATAGAGAATGGGGAATTTGGAAGCTTTGTCATAGAAGGAAAATTTCTAGTCGATATCCTTCAATTTGCGGATGATAATTTGTTGGTTGGAGAAGGAACTTGGAAGCACGTGTGGGCGATAAAGACAGTTTTGAGGACTTTTGAGATAGTGTCGGGTCTTGGAATCAATTATCATAAAACTAAGGTGATTGACATTAATTCTAACAACAATTTTTTGGAAGCGGCTTCCTTTGCTCTCTCTTGCAAAGTAGAAGATAGTAAATTCTATTTTCTTGGTATACCTATTGGTTTCAACCCAAGGAGATTATCCACTTAGAATCCTCTTTTGTTGAAGATGGAGAAACGTTTATCGGGTTAGAAAAATAGTTTTCTCAATCTTGGTGGTAGGATTACTCTCTTAAAGTCTATATTGTGTTATCTATCTATTTTAACCATGTCTTTATACAAAATACCGATGAAAGTAGTTCAAGAGTTCACAAAAATCCAAAGAAAATTTTTGTGAGGGAGCGTAGAGGATAAGAGGAAGAGTCATTGGGTTAGTTGGAAGGATGTTTTCCTACCATTGGAGAAGGGAGGGTTAGGAATAAAAAATATGGTGGACTTTAATATATCCGTCCTCAATAAATAGAGATGGAGGATACTTCAAAGTCAAAAAGCTCTTTGGTATAATTTATTGAGAGCTCGTTACAATGATATTTCTTCTAAGTTTTTTTTATGGAGATTCTCCAAAAAAAGTCTCCTATTCTCATTCTTGTTGGTGGAGAGACATCATTTCGATAGGAAAAAATTCCTTCAAGGATCCCATTGTTTCAAATTGTAGCTTTAAGGTTGGTAGAAGTTTCCCCACACCGTTTTGGGAAGCTAAGTGGTTGAAGGAAAAATCTTTGAAGGAGTTATTTCCGGCATTATATTCGGCTTCTAGTTTGAAGAGGGTCTCTATAGCGGCCATGGGAGGTTGGTGTGATGGAAGATAGACGTGGGGTGACTTCGGTTTAAGGGGGCGGTGGCGCAAGATCCGTCTCTGTCGGCCGGTTTGGATGCTTTGAAGGGGTAGCTTATTGATCATGGTATTAAAGAGGAAGGCCAAGATTGTGTAGCTTGGGATCTAGATTCAGAAGACGGAAGGCCAAGACGCTTTTTGCGTATTCTTTTTTGTCCTTTTAATAGGTAAGATGCGGCTTTAGGCTTGATATGGAAGTTGGATGTGCCATTAAAATAAAGACTTTTAGTTGGAGACTTCTTATTAATAGACTTCCAACAAAGGACCTTTTGGTGTATAAAGGTATTAATTTTCCTATAGATTCTTTGAAGTGCTTTCTTTGTGGGATAGAGTTGGAAAATAGGAAACATTCATTTTTTACGTGTAGCGTGGTTAAGACGATATGGAGGGATATAGTCGTTTGGATAGGTAAAACAGAAGAGATAGAGGAAGAGTACCTACCTAATTTTATGGGTTGGTATCTTTTTTGCCGTATAAAAAAGGTCAAAGAGAACAAATTATGGGTTGTTTGGTTAGCTATTACTTGGATGCTTTGGTTGTTAAGGAATGATATTTGTTTTTGGAATAAGAGTGGACTATTAACAATGTGGTTTGGTGTATAAAAACTTTGGTTTGAAAGTGGTCTTTTTGTGGAGATATTACTCATTCTAATTGTAATTTTTACGAGTTCAGTAAAGATCTTTAATTTTTTTTCTCGTAAGTCAAATTGATTTGTAATTTCTCCTCTTTTGTCAAATTAATCCCGTTCTTAGCATAAACAGATTAGAAAACCTTTAATTCTTTCCTATATAATATCTTACTTACACAATAAATAAATAAATAAAATGTCCCGTCAATTTTTCTAGTTGGTCTACTTGCGAATTTTACCTAAGGGATTAGTTGAGGAATTAGCCGGGACATAAAACCGCAGTGCTTCGAATCTTGTGTTAACATCCAAAGATAAAACTGCATAAAAACAATGAATTTCTAATATTGTTTGAACATACACTAACATTTATTCCTATAATATATATCAACAAACTTATGCAAAACCTTTAAATAACAACAAATAACTTTTCTACCAACATTATGATGTACAAATAAAATCATACGTTAAGAAGTAACATAAAAGTATTTATCTACTTGATTCTTATGCTTTACCCACATTCACAGTAGAAATCAACACACTTCCTACGTTGAGGACGAAAACACAAATTTTTTGGACAATGCCACCAACGTTTGCAAAGAAAATAACCTGATATGTAAATGATATGTAAATGAAGAACATACAAAATGTTACTAAAGGGTGACAAAATTGTGTGCGTAGATAAATAAGATTATTTGAAATGGCATTAAAATAGACTTACCTCCATAGATTTCAACAAATAGAGAAAGAAAGATTATCAAACCATAAACAATTTTGGGAATTTGAGTCATATTTTTCTAATTTTGCATGAAGAAAATAGAAATATGTTTGATCAATTTTATGTTTCATTTCATACTTTGTTAAATTTAAATATATAACTCTTACTCCTTAGAAATTGCAAGAAGCCATTTATAAAAATGGAATTATTAATAAATGTCCTAAAGTATATTCTCTCCATAACACATTATAAGTCAAATTGACTATTAATGTATATATAATTTACATATATATTATATATATATTAATTGTTAAATATATTTAAAAAAAATCAATTTTATTTATAATTTGTTATAGAGAGAGGGAGTTCTTGTACCACTGCATTGTAGTATTGTCTATTTAACTGTTTTTATTTTTTTTAATTATTTTTTTTTGTTTACTAAACTTTTTATATATAATTTTGAATATTTCTCTTTTAGCCTTTGATGATAAATAAGGAAAAAAGTCCCCTAATAGAAATAGTAATGATGAATATTGAAAAGAAATGAGTGTAGGGTAAATGCATCAAAAGTCCCTTTGATGTTAACATTTATTTTAAATTAAAAGTTTCATTGGATAATTTTTTGTTTAAACAATTATATGATCAAAGCTAATATCGAAAATGTAATGTATGGGTTTGAATTATGTTCAAGTAAAAAACTTTTTGCTATATTTTATCTTTTTAGGGTATTTCGATTTCTTATGGAGATGGTTTTGACCCTTCAGCGAGTCTAGGATCATATGAACTCGCCCCTTTATTAAAAAATTTAAGTGACAACTACTTTTCTTTTAAATAATTAGTATGAAGAATATGAGTGTAATCATATCGGTTTAGATTGATTTTTAGTATAAAAAAAAAAAGTTTGAATTGAAGATATCTCAATCACTTTGATTTGATTTAGTTTTTAGTATTTTTTAAAAATAAAATCGAATCAAATTAATCGGTTTTATTTAGTTTGATTTGACTCGATTGATCGTTTATAATATTTTTTTAAACATTATATTTATTGGTATATTTTTCACTATGATTTTTAGTGTATTTTATGTTATTATATTTTAAAATAATATATTTAATATAATTTATTTTATGTTCTATTTTTTTAATAAATTAATCATTAGTTTTTCTTTGCATCATGAAATATCTTCACTATCAAATATACAAGTTGACACTTGACATCAGAATATTTGGGTGAGATTTAAAAGCTTAACAAATACTCTCTCCGTCTCAAATTATATGACGTTTTAGTCATTTCACACAAATTAAAAAAAATGTAATTATTACGTTATAGGAAAGTGAAATAATGTAGGACTTTATAAAAATACCCTTTAACAATTATCTTGAAAGGCGAATTTAAATAATAGAAAGAAGAAAGAGAAATAAATAGATGAGGATATATGAGGGAAAAAATCATTAATGATGTATTGAGATTGTAAAGTGATTTATAATTTGGGACAAATATTTTTGTCAAAGTCACTTATAATTTGGGACGGAGGGAGTAAAACACAACAGTAACAACTAAAAATTTTAATACACATAAATTAACATATTTCACGCAACAAAAACTATTTTTTAACAAGACTAAAATGATTTTTGTTGAAGAAGAAGAAATAAAAAAGATTAAAAATATATGAAAACTAGCGTAGAGAACTCAAACACGAAAAATGTGACCATAACATATCAAATGATGGTAGAGAGAGTAACAGTGATGGCGGGTGGCGATAGCAACAGTTCGATGAAAACAAGTTTTGTGACTTATGGTTTCTACTTTCAATATTTTGGAGTTTATTTCTAGATGTATGTTTTGCTAAAATGAAGGAAATGTAAACAAAGATGAATAATAATTAGACCGATACAACATTTGGGGTTATTAATGCATGGAATAAAATATTTATAGTGTAATTATAGCCATTCATCGGTTCCTAAAAACTAAAACCGAGAACTGAATCTAACCACATTGACTTTCATTGTTTACGTTCAATTTTGGAACCAACTAAAAATAATTGGATTTTTCTTCAGTTCGGGTTGGTTTAGATTATCAGTTTAATTAGTTTTTTATCTGCTTATGTGAGTGCACTTATCCATTAGATGTTTTACATGATGTCAAAACTAGGATAAACATAGCATTTATGTATATTGAACGATATCTCTGAATTTTTATGTGCACTTTTGCATTATAGATCTTAGAATGCATTTAGAGCATATTTGAAAAAGGCACAATGCATTAAAAATGAATTTTTACATGAAAACATGTCAATGTGTTGACACATACAATGTATGAATCGACACATGTGGATCAATAATAAAGTCTGTAAGCCTCTATCTATGTGTCAAACATACAACCTTTCAAGTCGACACATGCTAAAAAATTTCATCTATGTGTAGACACATAGTTGTTTTGGTCGACACATGTACTTCATTTTTAAAGTCTGTAAGCTTCTGTCTGTGTGTCGACACATATGTGTTTTAGGTTGACACATGTACTTTATTTTTAAATCCTATAAGCTTCTTCCTAAATGACCTTAAACAAATTGACACATATCATTACATATGTCGACACATGACATATGTTTTGACACATACTTAAAATTTTCTGAAAAATTACATTTCTTTTCAACTTATAAGCGTTCCTTTTTGCCTCCAACTTGCACATACATAAATACTTCATACATGCATCATTTTTAATTTGATGAAACTATAAACACATACAAAAATTGTTCATCATCTTCAACCTCTCATCTATGCATATACACAAACAAAGTGCACATAATCATTCATTGTTTGGGTGTCATCTAGATTTGTGTTGATAACTTTCAATCTAGGTTGGTGTAACTTAAGATTGGGTTGAGAATTTTTGGGGGTTTCATCTGAAACATTGTGAGAGTTTTCCTCCAAGATCATAGTGTTTATTTGAGGGTTTTGACAAGATTTCACAATTCGGATTTGATTGAGGGAAGAGCTTGAATAACGGGAGGTTCTTGTAAAGGAGTAACATGAGATGGTGAATCAATTGAAAATCTTGGGTGACAATAATTTGCAATTTGGATTCGACCGAGCAAAGGCTTTGAAAAACGGTTGCTCTTGCAAAGGCGTAGCGCAAGACGACAGATCAACATAAAACATAAGGTTTGACGCGAAATGCATTTTACCTCGGACAAAGTAGAGAGGTAAAAAAGACCGTCGTGAAAATTTTCCACTTAACACCTCTGTGATTAAAAATCCAAGGGGTATACTTATATGCTCACGGGTTCGAACTCCATCAACTGTAATTTTATTATTTTTAAAACTAGTGTTTCTTTTATCTCGTTTTATTCCAAAAATCGAGGGGTACGATAATTATTTTAAAAAATTGTTACATTGTTTACCCAGAATACTATATTATTTACCCAATATTATATTGTTTACACAAAATATCAATATTAAAATAAAAGTCAAAATCCCTAGGGTTCAAGATAAAAATCAAATTCCCTAGTGATCTAAATAAAAATAAAATTTCCCGAAGATTTAGACTTTAGATCTTCGAATTATTGAATCTTGGAGATGATCTTCTGTTTGATCTTACATGCAATTGTTTCTTATGAAAAAAGTGTAAGATAATTAATATAAAAATTAAATCATTTTCGGGTCGAATAAATATTTAAGAAAACAAACCTTAAGCCTAGAATTTTTATGCTCTTGCAATCCATC